CTGCATCCATGCGCAGTCCGATTGCAGCATGCCGTCGACGTCCAGCCCGCAGAGGGGGTGATCGATCGGCATGGCCTTCACCGGGAGCGGATCATCGGGGGGAAGCGCATTCTCCCAGGAGGGTGACCGAGCGCCCGCCCCTAGGGAGGCGTCCGAGGGCGGACATGAAATGCCCGAAGGTTCCACTTCGGCGGAGGAAGGTGGGCCGGAAGAGTCGGATCCCCTGGGCAAAACATCCCCAGATGGCGGGGAATCAGAAGGTCCTCCGCGGCAAGAGTCCGGAGCGGCTGAAACCAAAGCGCGCTCAGCCAATCCGGCGCGACGACGACGGCCTCCACGGCGGGCCGAGCGGCGAGGAAGGAGACGAGCCGGGGAAGGAGGCACCAAGGGGGGTTGCACCAGTTGGTGTCCCCCATCCAGTCTTGGAGAAAGGCGTCCGTCCCGCACTCCCCACGTCCGCGTGCAGGCTGTTGTACCTTGGGCAGAGGGAATTCGCCGCGGAAGCAAAGCGGTCGCACGACCGGCGACCGAAGCGCTGAGTCAGGCGCTTGAAAATGGCCGGGTGCAGTTGGTAGTCGTCCGCCACCCGAACCCGGGACAGCCTGTCCGGTATAACGTTGTCCTCCAACCGAATATAGTTCGGGTCGAGCAGGAGGTGGCGCGCCGTACAGACTCGGTGCAGCTGACGAAGGGGGGTGAGGACCTGCTTGGAATGGGTAGTCATGCTGCGCAGGCAGTACATGACCACCTGGTTGTCGACCAGCAGCTTGAGCCTCGAAGGAAGGCCATGGGAAGCAGCCGGAAAAAAGCTGAGAATGGCTCGCTCCACCGCCTGCATCTCACGCACATTGATGTGCATTAAGGAATGGTCCCAAAACCCCCTCGCGAGGAGGGGGCGGGACCTCGTCGGGGGAGCAAAGGTGGCCCCCCAACCGGTCAGGCTGGCATCCGTTGCCAAAGTACCGGCGAAGGGGATTGCGTCGGGGTTGAGTGGACGGCCTTCGCAGCGGCGGATGTTGACCCACGCCTCCAAGTCCAGCCGGGCTTGGGGGGAGAGGATCAGGCGATCCCGCCAATTGCGCTTGGAGCAAAGAACCGCGTAGAGGCTTTGCAAGAAAAATCGTGCCAAAGGAAAAGCCAAATAAAGGGAAATGGCGAGGCCGCAAAAACGTGCCAAATCCCTTGCCACAACCCAGTGGCTGGATCGCAAAATGCGGGCCTGAGTGGCGATCAACGCGGCCTTGTCCGGAGGAACCTCAAAACGGCCATGGGCCGTGTCCACAATCACCCCCAAATGCTTCTTGCGCATGACCGGGGTCCATTGACACTTCCGCTCCTTGAATTAGAGGCCCAGCGAGGCAAACACACCCCGAACCAATTTCGACCATCGAGTCAAACGTGCGGCATCATGCATGGCCGCCAAAAAATCATCGAGATAAGCCAACAAAATGGCTGGCGGTTCACTAGTATACACGTGAAAGTATGTAGCTATTGAGTCATCCCCGGCTAGGCACCCAAAACGGAAATGGCGAGCAGCCTTGGGGCAACTGCCCGGGGACCTCAAGAAACGACCCACAACAAGCATCAAATGGGTGAAAAAGAAAGGAGCCAACGAAAGGCCAAAAGGGAGAGCTTGACAGGCGAAAACTTCATCTCCCATCCGAAATTGGAGGAAACATTCCTCCGATCGACACACGCGAAGATGATGATAAGCATCTTTGATGTCGAATCCCACCAATGAGTCATTTCGGCGAAGTAAGTGACCGAAGTCACGTAATTTCTCATAACGAAGGCCCACCTTGCGAAGGTGACGGTTGACCCATCGCAGATCGATGCAAAGGCGGTACTTCATGACCCCATCTTCCCGCCCCTTCTCCACCAGGAAGGCCCGAGATATGCGCGAGTCGGGGCCCAGCTCCACTTTGGTGATCGCGCCCGAAGAGAGGTAGTCCGCTCGAAGGGATTGCCAGGCCGCCCGTTCCACCGATGAGCGGAGCGGGTAGGAGCCCTCGTCGAAGGGAGCCGGCGGTCCACGCGGTCCCCACAGAAGCGGAGTCCCGGAATGGATCCATTGGAGGATGCGGGAGGGGGCGCCGATGCGACGCCACGCCGAAAGGCGTCCGCGGACCCGGTTGTACGGGAAAAGCTTCACGGAGCCGGCTTGGGAGAGGGGCCCGGAGGGCGAGATCCCTTGTGGGCCTTGGGGCCGGTCGAGGGGGCCGAGGTCGACGGGGGGGAGGTAGACTTCTTGGCGGCCGCTGTCTTGGTGGCGTGCTTCAATTCTTGCGTCAGAAGCTCCTTGCGCATGCGCTCGATGGTCCCGTCGATGCGAGCGGTGCCGAAGCGCAGGCCGCGGTCGGCAAGGCGGATCTCCGCCTGAATGGCCCGCCACGATCCCTCCAGAGTCTGGAGTCCACACCCGAGCCCTTGTGCTTGGCGTGGATGCGCTGCAAGGAGAGCTGGTCGTGGAGAGCTTCGGTGACCTCCACGTACGAGTAAAGGTAGGGGAGGAGGAATTCCCATACGGACGCCGGTAGATCGGGATGGGCGGCCACCTCCACGAAGGCCGCAGTCGTATCGAACAGCCGGGAGACCGGAGGAGCCCAGCCCACGTACTCTTGGAAGTACCCGGAGTTGGCACCCAAAGAGGCAGCGACCGCACTCCCCTCGGCGGTGTCGCGGACGTCGAACCAGTACGGCGAACGGGCGCCCACCGGTGGGGCGACCGGGTTGTTGATGGACTGGGGGAGTAGCGCCGGGTCGGGCAACCAGCAGGCTTTGATAGCGGAGGTCGGAATACAGTTGTTGAACCGGCGAGCTTGGTCCCGGCACCATTGCTCCGCAGGGGACGGGTTCATAGGCGAAAACTCGGCAAGAGCCAGAGGTCGCGACCCACTCTATGGGTCCGGGTTGTGCCAAAGGGTTGGCGCGAAGCGAAACAAGATAAGGTGGGGACCGAGGGGTGAGCCTAAGTAGCCTCCCCGCTCGCGCCCGCCAAAGCCCGCCGCTCCCAAGGGCGCCAAAAACCACTGGCCCTCCTTGAACGCGACGGACCAGCCACTGACCCAAGGTACAGGGGGACAGAAACCCCAAGGGGCCGCCAAAACCATTGTACTTTAAGCAGCGCTGACCCAAGTGGGCCAGCGCGCCCGCCCCTCGTCGCCCTGGGCGGAAACCACTTAACAAGATAGTTAATCCCATGAACGAATATTCCTTGCGAATCTTTCACGTCGCGGCACAGATTCGATTTGTGATGCTGGGCGTGTGCTGGAAAGGTGACGAAGGAGTGAAGTGATGTCCACCTGAGCGTAGCCAGGGGGTTATGTGAGGATCAGAAGTGCATGCTGTGAGGTTTGCGGAAGCACGCTCAGATGTGATACGAATAGTTGAGTATGAGGCGCAAGGAGAGTGAGAATGATGTGAACTGTCATGTTTGGACGTGACCTAATAGAAATTGTATAAGATTTGATTGTACTGCCATTTCTGACGTGTCTAGGGTATTTGGGGAGTGGCTGCCGTGCTGTGTGCGGTCCACAGGCCGCATGCTGCTGTGCCCAATGTCTGAGGGGCTGAACGGACGGACCATAGTCTCTGAAGTTGTAAGCACTTTGGTGGCATTCTCCTCGTGTGCGACCCGTGCACACAGGCCGTGGTGCGCAGCCCGACCAAAGGGGCTTCACGGCCAAGAGTTTGAGGTCTCCTACACTCGAATTTGGCAGAGGGCGCCCATTCCAATCTCGCCGTTCGAGTGCATGGGTTTCCAAGCGATTCTGTGAGAATCGAAGCGGCTTCCCGCGTGTTTCTCACCTAAGGCCCAGCTTTCTGCGTGACCCTGGAGGGGCAAGGGCCGGAGGCCAGTTTGAGCCGGATTTTCCGTGGCGCAATCGCTGGCGACGTGTTTGCGAGGGAGCTGTACGACCCCAGATTAATCTCCTTTGACGCAAATCCAAGCGAGCCGAAAGGCGGGACAGGCGAAGACTTGGCGCTTCGTGGATTTTCGCCCGGGTGGCAGCTATGTCAGGCGGCCACCTTGTGCAAAAGACAAAGGCTGTGTCAAATGGTGAATGAAAACAGAGTTCCACATGGAATGGAAAACGGCTGTCCGGTCCCTGCTGTCCATTGCCAAAGCACTCAGAGGTGGACTCTCCATGGGCGGCGTGCGCTGTTGAAGAAAGATGCCCGCTCCACACCACCGACGCATGTCCTCATCTAACAGCCAATCTACACTACCCGCTGTGCCAGCAGCCTGTGATTCACAATATGAGCATGCACCTCAGATTCATGTGCGCAAACCTTCCCTGAGCGTCCCGCGGTTCTTCTAGCGGGGAGACCATGCTCCACAAAGACCAACATATTGCGACAGTAGCTGAAACAACATTCGACACCTGGCCACCCGCCCGCATCCCATCCACGCAGCATGGCGTGGTCAATCCAAAGTTGTACAGTTGTTTCCTCCATATTGTCACAGGCAAAATCCGAAAAGCAAAATCGGAAAGTACATTGTCCCGCGTGCCACTCCACAGGCGACCACACGGAATTAGGTCCGTTACCAATACAGTAGACGCCTGCTAGCTAGCAAACTCAGCACACCCGGAAACGGGAACCCCGCACAGCCCCAAAACCTCAAAGCGCAAAAGACAACGTGGTTCCCTTCCCACAACACACAACACACCATACTACACAGCATGTCACCAGCCTGAGCCGGCCAAACCATAAGAAAACCCGAACAGCGGTTCCTCAGTCGTGAGGTCCTGCACCACACCCACCTGGAACACCTCCCACCGCTATCTGCCTGGCATCCCAGGGGAAGGGCAAACGGAGAGGAGTGCCGGACGGAATCTGGAACATCCCTGGCGACTCCCATGCCAAACTTAGGCCATGGCGTTACAGGTCATGCTTGGTCAGGCACGACCCAAGCCATGTGCACGCTGCTATACCTTCCACACAAATCCAACCCAAAGGAATCCTGCCTATTGTAGCCCTTCCTCCCCCCGGGAATGTTAGCAACAGGAGGAGTGCTTCTTCTTCGGTTTTTTGAACGGCTCCCTCTCTCGTGAGATTTTGAAATTGGGCAGCGCCGGTGGGGTGGACACGGCTGTCTCCTCCTGCTTTATCCGCTGTAGCACATTTCGAGAGATGCAATGGAACACCTGTCAAATCATCGGGACATCAGACAATTAGAGCGCAGCGGACAGAGAGATTCAATGCCTGTTGCAGTCTTCTTGCTGGAAGCTGCAGTAAAATCCGTCATCCTAATTTGTGCAACCTCAACCCTGACCCCAACTATTGTTCCCCCCAAAATAGACTCGCTGTGCATTCGGCTCTCGTATTTAGCTCCATATTCTTATCGCTGGCTGGTGTGGACACCACTCTCTGACAATGGACATGCTACATTCACATGATGTTCTCTCCTTTGTATCCACCTTGTTGTGTCTTGGAGCGCCCGCTAAATTCCCTTAATGGTGGAGGAAAAGTGGGACTATGCCTCGTTATTCTGTCTTGTAACAATCTTACCCCCCAATTAGATCACAGCTCACAGGGAAATGCAACAACATTGGCATTGAACCAAAGGTAGGCGACCTATGCCGACCTGATGTGGAAAGAACACTGCAATTTCAGGCGCCACATTCGCACATGCTGGCCACAGAGATCTGCCGGCCGCAAAATCTTGGATGCTACAGATTGTCCTGGCTGAGTTCGCCTGTACATGTGCAGCCCACCTATGCATCTTGCGATTACAATGGACAACACGAAATTCGACAGCCACACACAAGGCTTCCCGGACACCAAACAAGGTTGTTGGTATTTGGACGGGGTTAGCTCAGAATGGCAGCGAGCAGAATATGAGACACACTGTCTCCCGCAGTGGAGGATTGGAACAGTGACAAGTATGCCACCCACTCCCAAACAGCACCCACGGTCTCCAACAAGTCCATTGCACAGCAAGTATCTTTCCTCGCAATGAAATGTTGAAGAAACTAGTAGGCAGGGCACCGTGCAACAAGCAACTTGAGATATTTTCATGGCAAGTGGTGGGTTTAGGTTACATCCAAAACGTACATGTACTTATCATACTACATCCATCTTTTGCACGTACACTACTTGCAGAAGGGGCTTCAGCTGAATCTACATGCGAGATAGAGCACAATATAGCTGCGATACGATTCCGCAAAGCATGCAAACTCGCATGTAGACTGGATAGCAAACAATGAAGAGTACTTGCCACATATCGGCTGGAGACAGATCCAGACTTTTGAAATGTGATTAAACTAAGGGCCCACCCACCCATTCACAATAGTAGAAGAGGAAACCCGCACTCCCAGACGCATTGTTGAAACTCGGAAGTACACTACCCAATGTGGATTCTCAGGTTGAGCACATTCGACAAGCAAATGATTGTAGGCTTTTAGCACAACAGGATGCAATGAAACCCATAACGCATGTTTGCCAGGCGAAATCCTTACTTCGGTGCTATGGCACAAAGCAAAGACAAACAAATGGTCTCTAACAGGCAAGCTTTCACTGTGCCAATCAGCACAGCTATGTATCAGAAACCATTGGAGATGTGGAAGCACCAGAACGTGCACTCAGGATGTCGAAATCTGGTGAACGTGTTCTGAGAAAGTTATAAAAATCGAGCAAAGCGTGGCTGTGGCGGCAATTCTGTTATCCGGTGCACCGCAGTTACCCTGCACAGTTGGAAATCGCCAAATCAGGGCTCGATGAGCCCCATTGACTGTAGTACCACTGACATTTTCATTCCAAACTTTTCCATGGTTTATGGGCTATTATGAATGGTTGGGGTCAACACCGTGCAGATGCACACATTGCCCTTCAGCGCCCTAATATATACGCCTGGACTGGCACACAGCAAAGAATGCAATTGGCTGATTAACACATCACCCTTCATCACCCTTCATCTTCCCCACACGGGAGTCCTTCCCTTGCATACTGGCAATCAGTGACATACCTCCTCTACGTTGCTACCAGTCTTGGCACTGGTCTCAAAGAAAGGTATGCCATACTCCCGGGCGAGCTGCTCCCCAGCTCCGTAGGACACTGCCCTACTGGCTTTGCCCATATCACTCTTGTTGCCGACCAAAATCTGCAAGGGGAGGAACTGGAACCTTGAGCAAAGGTACAAAACAGCCAAGAGTCTCAAGATAATCTTGCTCAAGAAGGGGAATAACTATATAAAAGTTTCTCTGTTCGTTAGAAGACCATCTGCACACATGTGGGGAAGTGGCCTACCTAACAACAAAAAGCATGAAGTTGGTGTGGAAGTGAGAGGTACAGCATGGTGCGTGTGAGCAGTGTGGTGCAACACAGAAAAAACCCCATCAAGCCAGAAATGTATATGGCAAGATCCCCCCTTGGCTTCTTGCTGTATGCGTTGTTGAGGTGGCTGCAACATTTGTCCCTCAACAGGATAATAAAGAAACACTGCAGAACCCTGTCCATTTAAATAGTTTACCAGGAGGATTGAACCACTTCTGCATCCACAATCTCTGCAAAAGCGATGCACAGCTGGGTCAGATGTTTCAACGGACGTGCTTTCCATAGATGGACAAACTGGCATGGCTGGATGCATTGAGGTACACCCAACTCCCCACACAGCGGCAGTTGGGTGGACAACAGGAGGCCATTTGTTCCGCAGCCATGTCCAATCAAACCGCAACCAGTGCTCAAAGCCATCTTGCAGCATGTCCAGAAACCCCACGTGCAGCACCAGGGTTTTTCACAGCGCGCACACCTGCCGCCTCTTCACCACCCACCTTGCTGACTTTCTCTGATGCATGCTGCTCAATATTATGCATCCAGTTCCTGACGTTCTTGAACGACCCTTCGTCGGCGACGTCATACACCAAGAGGATCCCCTTGGCGCCTCGGTAGTAGGCTGCGCGAACGACGCGAAAACCTCAAGACGTGCCGCGAGAATTCACAGGTGTGACCATCCTTCGCCGTGGGATGACGCGAACAGCGCCGGCCGAGTGCACCGTCAGCGCGCAATAAAACAGCCGGCGGCGGCGACGCCCGGCCTGCTTCGCGCGTGCTCACCGCTGGTGATCGTCCTGAAGCGCTCCTGGCCCGCGGTGTCCCACACTTGCAGCTTCACCAACTTGTCGTCCAGGCGTATGCTCTTGATTTTGAAGTCGATCCTGCGGACGCAATCCCATCAAGCGTGGCGTGAGCCACGAGCCGCGGCGCTGGACCTCTCCGTGCGCCGCCCCGGCGTCGCGGCGGACCCAACCCCTTTCCCGCCCCTCGACATCCGCCTACCCTATGGTGGTGATGAAGCTGGTGGTGAAGGTGTCGTCCGAGAACCGCAGCAGCAGGCAGCTCTTCCCCACTCCTGCGCCCCAGCGGCTCACGTCAGCACCCCCTTGACGCGTCGGAACCCTCCGCGGGCGCACCGCCCGCGCGAAGGCAACCGTGGGGCATGCATCCGCGCAGCCCCGTGAGCATCTAGGCCGCCGCGCCCACCCAAGTCCGCGCAACGCCGAACAGTGCCACGGGTTGGCGAGTGACCGGGTGCCGCAGCTCAGGGGGGGGCCGGTGGCGTGGGCGCGCACCGCTGTCGCCGATCAGCAGCAGGTTGATCAGGTGGTCGAAGTCATGCCTGTTCCTCGACATGGTGACCGATTGGGAGGACCGATTCTATGCGATGCAACCCCCAACGCGCGAGGCGCGGGATCCCCACGGGAATCGAGGGCGAGAGGCCAGGCGCCCGCGGCTGCTGCGCGACGGCGCCCGCGTCTGCTGCCAGCGGGTTCGGCGCGTTTAGCACGGGGCGGGCACAAAGCCCCGCGGGAAGGCCCGGGATGCGGGATGGGAAAGGCAAGGAAGCTGCTGGGGGAGGCAATCTACGCTGGAGGGCAGGAGGGCGGAGTGGCCCTGGCGCCGGGCGCCGACCGTGCCGCTCATATATAGCCGAGGACCTGCGCGGCTCCGTCCTCCGCGGGCTAGGCGGGAGGTAAAGGGCGCTGGGGATCGGGTCAAGCGCGGCGTCATCTGACGTCAGCGTGTGTGTGTCCGGGAAGTCGACGGCATCGACTAAGCGCGTCTGTCGGCTTGGGCTGTGGGTTTTGTTGCCCGCCCGCTGGGTGGATTGAAGATGGTTGGGTTGATGCGGATCGAAGTGTGGCAGCTGCCGGGTAGTGGATAGGAGGCGTGGGTCAACCGACGGTCTGGGATGGAAGGGTAGCCACTGGGGGTGGCGTGCCAATCCATCAATATCTGTCGGTAACTGTCTAGAGTATTTGGTTTTCTTTATGTTGCCATCACCTGAGCACTAATTCGGCTCCGTCAACTATAAATACTTCTACTAGTATTAGTGTTGGATTTTGCTGAAAGTTGTTAAAATTGTCGTTAGTGAGCACCGGCAAATCAAAGGCGGGCTCATGACCGACATAGGGCAGCTGATTGGGCCACCATCAAACAACCAATCAGGGTGAAAATGGAAAGAGGGGACAAGGGAGAGAAGAAAAGAATAAATATTCAATATATAAAAAGGTGTAAGGGAGATTTGTAAATATGTTGTAAATAGCATATTGACAAAATGTCAGATGGTTGTCATGCCTTTACGATTTATGGTGCCTGACATAATGCTAGGAAGATGGTTGTTGATACAAGAACCTTAATTCAGTGGGGCGCCTGCCCTCTTTAAACTGCAGATCTGCCTCGCCGGGCACCTAGATCCTTACATGGGCCTAGGCGGGACCACCCCAACCTGTTCCCATATAGTATAATACTATAAGTTCCGGTTTGGGTATCATTACTGTTGCGCGGCAGCGCGCAACAGGGGGTGAGAGAGCGTACCGGTGCGGGCGCTCGAAGGCCATTAAGCTGGGACCCAGCACTGGACCCCAAGTACTACGTACTTGGGGCCACACCCGAGCGCCGGTACTTGGGGGTACCCCAGGTACCGGTGGCCACCGCCCTAGTTCCGGTCTAAGCACTCTAACCCCTACACTGTCGTAACCGTAGCCCTCTTGGGCCGGTTACTGTAGGGGGTCGCCGGTATCCCCGGGTACCGGCTAGTGCGGTACAATTACCATATCTAGGGCAAGGCATCCCCCACACTAGGAAACCAACTTGGACCTGCCTTCAAGGCAGGTGTAAGGGTTGGGCCCGGAACATTATACATTAAGGTCATGGGGTGTTGTATATTATAGGCACCGGACATTGTATATTAAGAACTCTTTGGAAACGCTGTGCAATAGGGTTTACTAAGGGCGACCAGACTGGGCGTGGATAAAATAGACAAAGGGGGAAAGCGCCGTGTTGGTCAATACGGTGGGGGATGGCCTCGGGAACCAGCGGGTTGGTGAAACGAACCGACAAGGGACGGGAGTTCAAATTATGAACTAGGCGGGCTTGCCAGAAATAGGATGACTTACCCTATTTCTGGCATGACCCTTAGAATGCCTTGGAGGGGGGGTATAAATACAGGACAACCAAAACACTTTTGTAATCAGAAGTTGCACCTTGAACTCTCTCAACCGGTCCTTGACTCGAACAGAGAATATAGGCCGTGTCCTGTCCGGCCAAAATGGGCTCTTGCCCCTTACAGCGATGCAATATATAACAAGCTTTTGTGCAAAATGTCGGTAAGAGGGTCACGAAAAACAACAAAATGTGCATTTTGCGCACAGGCAAAATGCAAGAAAAATGCCACAACAACGAACTTACGCACAAACAGAGCATTTTTTGGGTCACCCAACGGATAAGAAAACCACAATATTGCGCACAAAAAAGGCGTACCTTTGCGCGCGCCGCGCGCGCAAACTTAGGCGAACATCGCTGGGCCTAGTGCGTCAATGCACAGGGTCGGTGGGTGGGGGGGGGAAGCGAAACCCGTGTTGTACATATTTTTTTGTAAAAACTTTCCTAAACTTGTGATATAAAGCATGAAAACTGGTGTTTTAAAGGCGTTCATACTCTTATCTTTTGGTGCACTCAGAAATGGCGATTTTGCGCACAAGTTTCATTGTTTCCCGACGGCCAATCTTGAGGACAACCGTTATGCCCAAAAAAGCACATAATCGTGATGTTGCGCACAAGTGCACCCTTTTGGACCTTACCGACATTTTGCACGAAAGCTTGTTATATTGGTAAGTTATGATATTGGTGTGTCTTGGGATGTGTTGTTGTGTGTGCATGCATGTTGTTGTGTATTTGTGTATGCTACAATAGCTACAACTGTTGCTGCTTAGGACTTGTTTAATTAACATTGTGCATGTGTCCTTACAATGGTTGGGTCTCCTCACTGGTCAACCACATGCGTGCCAGTGCAAAAGCCACTGTTGAGCTACGTAAGCTGCAAATGGAAGTAATGTTGTTGCGTGTGCATGCATGTTGTTGTGTATTTGTGTGTGCTATAATAGCTACAACTGTTGCTGCTTAGGACTTGTTTAATTAGTAGTGTGCATATGTCCTTACAATGGTTGGGTGTCCTCACTGATCAACCATATGCATGCTAGTGCAAAAGCCATTGTTGAGCTGCGTAGGCTGCAAATGAAAATAATGTTATTGTGTGTGCATGCATGCTGGTGTTAGAGGTGGCCACTCAAAGGTGCCATCCGGTCCGTTAAATCCGGTTCGTTAATTTTTATCAGCTGTCCATTAAATTTCGTTAAAGAAAAAGGGAGAAAAATTCAGAAAAAAAACAAAAAAATCCAAAAAAATAAAAAATAAAGAAAACCCCAAAAAATCACAACAACTGCGGCTAGTTGAAAATCTAGTATGCATAGGTTGAAATAATATACAAACATACTCTCTTATAGCGAATTCCATAAACTATAAGTATGACTAAAACCCAAAAATCCCAAAAAATCCAAAAATCCGCTAATTTTTGGTTAATTTTTGTCTTTTTTCGTTATTTTCCGTTAATTAACGCAAAATTAACGGAAATTAACCTCTGTCCGCTATTAACGGATCCGGGTGGCCACCTCTACTGTGGAGATGTTGCAGCGAGTTTACTGGTGGAAGGGGATTCGCCAATCAGCGAGGGACTACATCAGAACCTGCCCAAAGTGCCAGATGTTCAAGTCAGAGAATCAAGCACCAAAAGGACTTCGGCGGGCGATTCCAGTTCCAACAGCTAAGTGGGAACAGATTACTATTGATCTTGTGACGGATTTACTTGAATCACATGGACATATAGCTGTTGCAGTATTTGTGGATAGACTCACCAAGTTTGTCATCTTTGTTCTTTGCTGGAAAGAGTTGAATGCAGTGGGGTACCCGAGGTTGTTTTTTTACAATGTCTTCAAAAATTCAGGTCTACCTCGTGCTATGATCAGTGATAGGGACCCCAAATTTTTGAGTAAGTTCTGGCAGGAGCTATTCAGACTTCTTGGCACCAACTTGCGTATGTCCACCACGTACCATCCGGAGACAGATGGTCAGTCCGAGGTCTCCATACGCACGCTGGAGAATTTCTTGAGGCCATATGTTGAAGAGCATCCAAAGGAGTGGAGTACCTACCTTCCTTTGGCAGAATTTGCAGTGAGGAATGCTATCAACATAGCTACCGGATACAGCCCGTTTTATTTGATGTATGGGCAGCATGTATAGGCTCCAGTGGGACTTATGGCCAAGAAGACAGTTGACACGAGGGTAGAGTCAGTGGACGCTATGGTCAGTCGGATGCAGAAGGTGGTGTCCAGTGTTGTGAAGCATTATGAGAGGGCATAGGAGAGGATGGTTGCAACTGCCAACAAACGTCATCGTGATGTACAATTTTAGCCTGCAGATGAAGTTGTGGTAAGAACAACATTTTTGCCCTCCGCAGCTTTCAAGCACATTCCAGTGAAGATCAGGCATCATTACATTGGTCCTTTTCAGGTGGTGAAGGCAGATTCCCCAGTTGCATACACTCTCCAGCTACCATCCAACTGGCACATTCATCCGACCTTCCACGTTGAGAAGCTAAAGAAGTTTGAGCGCAGTGAAGAGTTCCAGCACACCGTCAGTTCGCCTCCAGAGTCACTAGAGGTAGAGGTGGCCACTTAAAGGTGCCATCCGGTCCGTTAAATCCGGTTCGTTAATTTTTATCAGCTGTCCGTTAAATTTCGTTAAAGAAAAAGGGAGAAAAATTCAGAAAAAACGAAAAAAATCCAAAAAAATGAAAAATAAAAAAACCCCAAAAAATCACAACAACTGCGGCTAGTTGAAAATCTAGTATGTATAGGTTGAAATAAAGTACAAACATACTCTCTAATAGCGAATTCCATAAATTATAAGTATGACTAAAACCCAAAAATCCCCCAAAAATCCAAAAATCTGCTAATTTTTGGTTAATTTTTGTCTTTTTTCGTTATTTTTCGTTAATTAACGGAAAATTAAAGGAAATTAACCTCTGTCCACTATTAACGGATCCGGGTGGCCACCTCTAACTAGAGGTAGAGGGCGAGCAAGAGTTTGAGGTTGAGGCGATTATCAGACATCGTGGCAGCGCTTCCAGAAAACAGTACTTGGTAGCCTGGAAAGGTTATGAGCTTCATGAAGCAACCTGGGAGCCAGAGGCCAACCTCATGCATTGTTCGGACCTTGTTGCAGAATACCTCCTCAGGCTACAACGACAAGAGGCAATCAAGAAGACCAGACAGAGTCGCCAAAAGAAGTGATGG